AGCAGAACGATCTTGGAGATGCGTGCATTGGGCGCTCCAGGCTGGGATGACGTCACCGACCTGTGTCTCCGTCACTCCAGTGATATTGTGGTACCGTACATTCGAGCCATTGCTGAAGCCAGCTTCCGACTACATTTTTTCCCTCCAAGCTGGAAGGAGGCCCAGGTGATCCCATTACGCAAGGCGAATCGCGATCCACACACGCTGGGGGGGTACCGCCCCATTTCGCTCCTTTCGGTGGTGGGCAAAGTCATTGAAAATGTGGTCAAATCTCGTCTTACTCATTGGCTGGAATCACACCACCAGTTGTCCCATCATCAATACGGATTCCGAAAGCAGCGCAGTACGGAGTGGGCCATCTGGAACTTCGTTGCAGCCGCGTCACACGCCTTGAAGAATCGCCGTCAGCTATGGGTGGTCTCACTGGACTTACATGCCGCATATGATACCCTCTGGGGCCCAGGATTGCTCCTCGCCATGCAACGAAAAGACATCCCCAGCTACCTCATTCACTGGACCCAGAGTTTCATTACTAATCGATCGGCATCTTTACAAGTTGGTTCAGCAATTCGCCAGAGCCACTTGGAACTGGGGGTTCCTCAGGGGTCTCCACTTTCCCCAATTCTATTCCTGCTCTACGTGGAACCTCTCCTCGCCCAAGTGTCAGCCACAGTATCCATCCAAGAGTATGCCGACGACCTCCTTCTCTGGCTGGAGACCGATCGCTGCCACTCAGAACTTGGGCAATTACAACAGGCCTTAATCCAAGTGGATACATGGGCCGCTGACTGGAGGATAAAATTCAGTATCGACAAGTCTTTCGTCATGTGCATCTCCCGCCTTCGGAACTCGCCCAGTCCTCCTCCATTACTTCTAGGAGGCCAGCCCTTGTGCAGGACTACATCGTTTCGGTATTTGGGAGTCACCCTTGACAACAAGCTATCTTGGACTCCCCACATTCAGGACGTGACTACCCACTGCTACCAGCGTCTCCGCACCATTCAAAAACTCTGTGGAGTTTATTGGGGCATACACCCATGTATCACCCGCAGGCTGGTGCTGGGTGCTGTCATGCCGCTTTTGTACTACGCAGCTCCAGTTTGGGCGAGTGTCACGGCTAAAAGGTCTACTCTTCGTCCCCTTGAACGAGTTCTACGCATGGCTGCCCTACTGATCACCGGCCTCATTAAATCATCTTCTTCTGATGCTGCCATCTACCTCAGTGGACTGCTGCTCCCAGACTTGGAGATTAAACGTCGGTTATTGGAGTTCTGGATTCGCATGGTCACATTCGGTGTGGACATTCGCAGTGCCTCAGGTATCTCGGCCATTAACTCATTCTGTGCTCCAGACGACATTCTGCGCGCAGAACTCCATCGTCTACAACAACAAAGGGTGTTTCCTAATGACGTTTTTGCCGACCCTCCGAATATCGAACGGCGGCTGCTCTGGCCTTTCCCGCCACATGATTTTGCTCTTCCGGTTCAGGCCCATTTCCCAGATCGGGCCTCAGCTGTAGTACTTCTCAGAACCGCACGACAGAGCGCACCGGATACGACGGTTTGGATCAGCTCGGATGGCTCAGTCACAACGGAGGGAGCTGGTGCTGCAACCATCATTACCCTGGGGGCCAATCAGTGTTTCTTTGGTCCTTCATGCCGGTCAGGGGGAGCACACTCGAGTACGCAGCTGGAGACTGAGGGTGTACGGATGGGCCTGGACTTCATTCGCTGCATTCAGGGTCGATGGGACATCACAAAACTACATTTACTGTCCGATTCACAAGCGGCCATCAGGGGATTGATGTCGGGCACCAACACCACAGAACTGGTTGTGGATACTCGACGGCTGCTCCAGGCAGCTGCCGATTGGATCCCCGCCATCCACATCACATGGGTTCCAGGCCACTCAAACATCGCTGAGAATGAGGCGGCTGACAAAGCAGCCACGAGGGCAGCAGCGGGGATTGGCCATTTTACACAGCGTTCTCTTCCTCACTGTACATCATTACTAAAAACCAAACTATTCAAGCACTTCTGCCAGCGCATGGAGACATGCTGGACATCTCTCTCGTCAGGACAAGGGCTTCGCGATTGCAGATAGCACTTCCGCCCCTCAGTACAGTGGACTCAACACTTTTCAAGGAGCACTTCCTCCATCGTCGCTCAATTTCTTGTGGACCACTTCCCCTGCCGCAGTTTTCTCTTCAAGAAGGCGCTTACCCCACTTCCGACCTGTCGATTTTGCTCCACGGAAATTGAAGATCGTTAGCACATTTTTTCAGCCTGTCCTGCATACGATCACATCAGAGCCTACTGCCAGGAGATGCTACGTCACCAGCTGGAGGAAGCTATTCCTTAGGAGCTGTCAGCCGTGGTCCGAAGCAACCTTCCCGTTCTGGCCACGTTTGTGCAGCGCATCAAAGTCATTTGGGACAATCAGCAAGGGGGCACTTCATGGGGATGGAGAATATGATCTGGGTTGCATCTAATTCCTGGAATTGAATCCAAAACACTCTTTTCTTTTCTTTTCTTTTCTTTTCTTTTCTGCTCTTTTCGTTTGCCAAAGAGTTCCTGTGCATCGACTTTGGACGAGGCGCTACAGATTTTCTGGAGTGGGATTATTAGGGACAGTTGCGGACACCAATCGCCCTACATCGCATTTCTTGTGAATGGGCCCCGTCTTGGATTGTGCATAGGGACAAACACTTTGGCTGGATGTAATTGGAATTTCACACACCTACACATATAAACACACCGCATACACACCTACACACATATATGCCTCTGCGTACTCTAAACATGGGAAAGAGCCCCACGCACATTCGTTTAGCAAGGGGCGCCTTTTGTGTGGCCCGTCTCCCCTTCAACGAATCACCGCAACAAAACCCTCCTATAACACACACCTACACATATAAACACACCGCATACACACCTACACACAACAGTCGCTCCACATACTCATCTCAAATCACGGGAAAAGTCCCAAGCACACTTGCTTGGGCAGGGCCACCCATTGCACGATTCTGGCGCTCTGCAGCAAATCCTACGCCACTTCTCATCCACTTCCCACCATTCCAGCCTATCGGGCTCCTATCCTATGCCAAGCGGATCGTATCCGTAGTCTCCGGGCAGGCTGCCGTCCAGATACGGCGGCGCCTGCGCGCCGTTCAGCCACATCCGTCTGCCCGCCGCCCTGACCAAATGCCCGCCCAGCCGATGTAATCGCATTGCCCTGTGCCCCACGAACCGCCGCGATTGGGCGGATGAGATCATTCTCGATGCTATGGCGGCAGGCTGGGCGGGGCAGGCGGCCTGGGGGGGGGAGGGGGGAGCCTTCTGGTCCGAGTGGGCAAGGCGTGTAGGGTCGCGGAGGGTGGCGTGGCGAGGGGAGGGCAGATGTCGGGCAGGGGAGACAAAGGCAAGATCTCCGGAGGCCAGATCGCGCGCGTTGCGACTTATTTTCGTTCAGAAATGAGGGAGGAAACATGTTTATCTGTGCATGTGCGTGTATTTGCTCTGAGCACTGCGTTAAGCACAGGGGGGCGAGTTGACAGTCTCGTGTTTCGAGGGGCAAGGCGGGGCAAGTCGAGGGTGAGCGGAGAAGGGAAAGGGAAGATGCGGGGTGGTGGAGATTTCCAGGGACCAGATCGATGCTCGGAGCGAGAATTGAGCCCTGCTTTGATTGAGGGATGATGTAGGAAACACGTCCCTGTAGTCCCTGGGGACGCGTTTCCTAGTACAGAATCTGTACTTTGCCCTAAATGCTGCGTTAAGTACGGTACTAAATGCGCGGGGGCGAGCTAATTGGTTATGGCCGGATAGTGCCAGGGAGGAAAACAAAATCTCGGGACCAGATCGTTTCCCCAGACGCGTAAACTTAATTACGAGGAAGGGGGTAGGAAACACATCCCCTGTACTTTGGGTCCAAATTGGCCCTGACTACGGCATTAAGTAACATATCCAGGCGCGCCCGGTACACAGCAATTTGCTGTTGAGCGCCAGCAGATTTCCCGGGCGCCCATCAACGCCAACGTTTCCATTAAATACCCACTTTGCTGCAAGCACGCCCCAACGTACCCGCAAAGTGCCATGAAAAGAGCATAGAATGGCGCACAGTCTCAAGTACAACATAAAGCATGCGCCCCCCCGTCACCGCATGTGTGAACACTGACCACGCTCCCTGGACAATCAATGCGCTCCCATGTTTCGTGCCTTGTGTTGTTCCGGGCCTCCCTCCTACAGCGCCTGAGAGCATCTTTATCGGTGTGTGCTATTGTCCCGGCGGTGCTATTCGGCTATTCGAATAGCACCACACGTCAAAAACCATCATCAAGAGCATCTTTATCGGAGGGTGCTATTGTCCTGGTGGTGCTATTCGGCTATCCAAACAGCGCTGCACGTTAAAAAAACACCATTAACGGTTTGGGAGCAGTAGCATGCCAACAGCGCCCCCGGAGCTGTTCGGCGCCAAGCGGCGCTATTTTGGCCCCGAATAGCACTGCTCGGGGCTGAATAGCACCCCAGAATAGCACCGGTGCTATTCGCACAGAACATTGCAGTGCTGCCGTGATGCTCTTCGCCATAGGCATAGCACCCACCATTGCGGATGCACGCATGGGAGCAATAGCACCTGTGCTATTCGGCAAATGCCGCCTTCGTAAGGTGGCATGGCAGCCAATGAGAACCGTTCCTGGATAGCTTGCCGGTGCAATAGAACCGACCGATAAAGATGCTCTGCAACACTGGTGGCACAGGAGGGTTTCTGCCTCGTTATTATGCAATGCCATCTTACCCCCGTTGCCGCCACACAAAGCACACTGCAAGAAAAATGAAAAAAAAATGAACTACAAACCTAAAGTACGGGCGAGAACAGCAACATAAAACGGTGTGCCCGCTCGTGGCTTGTCCTTCGCGGCGCTCGGGCGCAAAACCGTCTCTGACGCGCCGCCCCGTCGCGCTGCACGGCGCCTCCCGATGGTCCAGGGCGACGCGCCCGGCATGGGCCTGCAGCGCCAGGCCTACCCGCCGCCGCCCGCGTTCTACAAACTATACAAGGGCGCGCAGGAGGGCGGGGAGGGAGAGGGCCGGGCGCCACCGGCCCCACCGGCGCCCCTCGAGGGCGAGTACCACATCTTCGGGGAGATTCACGAGGTTCGTGGCTCCCTGAGATTGCCATTTTTTCCAAGTCGGATGAACCGAAGTCGGGGGAATGCAGGGCAAGGAAGGGGCCGCAAGCCAGCACGAACAGGTCGGGGGTGATTTGTTCGTGAACTGAAGTTGTGGGCGGGTACCACATCCTCGGGGAGATTTGCGAGGGGCGTGGCTCCCTGGGATTACTTTTTTTTTGGTTAGTCGTATGAACCGAAGTTAGGGGAAGGCATGGCGAGGAACTGCCGGACGCCAATACAAAATGGTTGCTTGTGATCTGCTCATGAAATCTAACTGATGCCCGCTGTCCGGAGTGGGGTGAGGTCGCGGGTTGTGTTGGCCTACTGTGGTCCCGCAGTGGAGCCCAGATTGTCTGAGCTGCATACTTTAGATGCTGTGCTTTGGCAATCGCACCCACGACGTGCTTTGCTATCTCCGATTGCATGCAAGGATTGCCACGCCAGTGTTGTTTCTGTTCTATCTGGCTGTGTTGCTGTGCTATCTTAAACGTGCGCAAGGTGTGCAGATCAGCCCCAGTCCCAAGAAAAACCCACGCCAAATTCCGTCCATTGAGCTTCCCTCATTTCCGAATGCAGCCCTTCGTGCTGTGTTGTGTTTTGCCAGGATGTTGTCCCTACAGCCTCGAGGCACAAATCCTCGTGTATTTCATATATCAGAATGTGGCCAACCATGGCTCCTTTTCCTATTCCAAAATGTTACATCGTCTTTGAGGTTTTCTGAAGCACTGTCCTTGTGGCTTCAAGATGATCATCCCGGACTCTTTGTCGGCCCGAACTGGGTCCTTTTTTTGCGCTTGCGCTTTTGGATCTTTGGAATTCGCTCCCTTGACTAATGTGATGGTGCACTTTCGGGCCTGTCCTGTTGCTGCAGAGGATCTCAAAAAAATTGGAAACTTCGCATGACAGTTGGGGTCCCATGCATTTTCTCCCTGTAATAGACAGCCAAGGATGGTGCTGCAAGTCAAGATCCGGACACGTGAAAAACATCGCTTGGGTCAGACCCTGCCTGCTGTTTGTCACAGTCCACCTTTGACCATGCGATTTGTTTGCCAATGTGCACATCTCCTGCTCAATCTCCAAGAAAGCATGGCACTCCTTCTGCATCATCATAAAGTGCAGTTGTTGAACAACGATGCTAGACTGCTCTTCACCTTGGATTCTTTGTGTCAGCAGAGATAGGCAACCACAATGGATGGAATTGTGGCTATTGCTGTGTCCATTTAGGATCGTTGGCAAGTACCTGAGGGCATGATGTCATTCAGAAGTGATGAAGCGGAACCCTCATTTTCCACCAACAGTTCAGGGGGCTAGGGAGGGAAAGTATCTGAGGGCCTTGTGTGTCGTACGCAGACAAGAGATGGTATTCCCGACATCCCTGTGCAACGACTGTTTAAGGAAGAAGGGCAAATAGGTGGGGCCTGGATTCTGTCAAGATCGCGACTTGATTGCGTTTCACAATGGTTTGATTCCACTCTGTGGTTTGGTTCCGAAACCGGCATTGAAAAGCCCTGGTTTACAGCAGTAGCCCATTGAAAAGGCAACCCTAGCCGTATTTGAACCGTTGTGTGCTAATTCATCATTATTGATTGTGAAGTTCCATGAGTTGCATCTACCAGCACCAGAACTATGATGACAGGAGAACAAGTCTTCATACGACAACTGAACAGTAACACCTGTTGAATGGTGCTGTTAACACCTGTTGAATGGTGCTGTTAACACCTGTTAGATGGTTCCAATGCTTGCAAGATGCCAGGGCTTTAGATTTATCCAAGATGTTGACATAATGCTTTCCTGGAACTGAGCTTCTGTCAGCACAATGCAAAGTGCTGCTGTTGCACCCTGCAAGCGATGATGGTGCAGTTCTGTCCATCAACCTGTTGCCAGCTATGCACGCTGATTGCACCATCTCATTCACGACCATGCTAGGAACAAACTGTATGAACGGCGAAAATGCACTTCCCCATGTGGGTGCAATAGATGAATGCTTCCATCCACACACAGACCATTTCCAGATTTCTTTGCATGCACAGAACTGCATGCAGCAATGCTAGCCAAAAAAGAGTCAATAATTCCTGTGCATGTGGTATGGTGGAATAAACGGAAACAAGGAGAAACCAAAACAGGTCCTGGGTGATTCCTGTCACTGTTTGATGTTGCTGTGACATGCTGAGGCTCTGGCAAGGCAAAAAAGGCCAATTGCGTGTGTGTGTGAGAATGCTTGTGGGTGAGATGTATCGACAAGGTTGACATGGCACAGAGAATAACAGTATGACGGCATGGCATCCGCACAGCACAGTGTCCTTGATGTACAGCGCATTAGTATCTTCATCCCAGCCGCCTGTCTCTTGTGCCTAAGCTTGACGACTAGACTTGTCAGCACTACTCATTGTCATGGTGTGCATTTGCAATGAATCCCCACAGCAGAGCAGGGCATCCATGCATCTATATCCCCAATGCGTCTTGTGCGATTGAAGCACATGTTTGCCACGACTTGACAACCTTTGGGGATGCCACCTCTGGATGTTCATCAGCCAGTTCAAAGTTGAAACTTGCAGCAAGCTGGTCATCACACCTGACTTCGCCCAATGGGTGGAAGGGCAGCATTTCAGCATGCATGGTGAGAATGTGTTGAAATTGGAATTCCAAATCAGCTACACCACAGTTTCCACAAACAAGGAGCGATTGGATTCATAGACATCGGGCCAGCAGGTCCTTCTGAATTTCCTGTACAATCCTTGCGATGGCTTGTGATGGCATCAGAGGTTTCAAATCAGTTTTCCGTGTGCAACAGATTTCAAGAAGGAGCTCCTGAAGATGAACCAGGAAGTTCTGTTCGCCTTCCTTGAGCTCATAAGCAACCTCATAGAGAGGCCCACAGCCTATGCTAGGCAGCTGGAGGCCATTGGAGTGCTGCTGCGAAACATGCACCAACTATTGAACAAGCTCAGGCCGCACCAGGTGAACACTGCCAGAGCGAAAGGGAGAGAATGGACGTGTTGTTGCTTGGCTCAGTTGGGTCATCGCAACACCCTGCAAGCATGTGTGTCGGGAAAGGAGAGAAGCCCATGTCCAGTTATTGATTCAGACAGGAATGTAAATATATCTGAGTATTTGCATATTCGATTCTGCATTTATTCAGTGTTTATTTCAAATATGCCATGGGAACACTTGTCCATGAGGCAGGATGCTCAAGGGGGCAAACTAGCTGTGGCTGGGAGCTGGCATCTTGTATTGGGTTTCCCTTATTCTGTTTCATCCCAAATGCTTGTATCCAATTTGGAGCCGCAGTTATGCTGGGTGATCTGTCTTTCTGAGAGATCACTGCAGATGCAATCAGTACAAAGATTGCAGCAATGGAATGCAATGCAAGCAGCGCCTCATCTCTTTTTCCACAGTATGGAGATGGTGCAACAGTGCGCTAACTGGACAAGGAACATACTGTAAGCAACACGATTTGGAAGAGTGACAGCAGTCAGGTCAAGCTGCCCTTCATCGTCTTGAAGGTGCCCACGTATGCTTCATGAATGGTGGCATGGATGGAATCCGAGGATTGATGCACACTGAGGATCTGGGCTGATGTGCAGCTGCGGTCAAGATGCTGACCACAGCACGCCAAACTGGAGTCATTTGTATTGAGGGATCCATGTCTGCCAGTTGTCCATGAATTGATAATATACAAGTGCCAAATAGACAAACTCTCGATGAATAGAAATGTAAGTATGAAACGAGTGCATGATAACATACGGAAGTATTTGTGATGGATGCACAGGCCCTGGCTACCATGGAGTACCTGTTGAAGACGGAGTTGGAGGAGATGAGGCAGCTGCTGGGTGACGTACGGGAACAGGTGGACAGCGCCAATCGGATGCTGCATTCGGCAGGGGACTCCCTGGTGGCGGCATGTGGAGAGGAGGCATATGGGCTCCATGATATCCCAGCCACCCAGGAATCCATGGACACTGGGGATGAAAACTCCTGACACATGCCGAAATTTGTCTGTCCTGTTCAGCACAGACAGGAACAGGAGCATTGCAGACAGGGAGTCATGGGATTGGCGGTCGAGTCGCTAACCAATCCAGTTTCCAACCAATTCCATTGCTGATGAAAGTGCACTGGGAGGGCGCCTGTGGGCCAGATGATGTGCCAGTCAGCCAACAATCCATGGACACGTGGTGAAGAGATGTCCTGACACAAGCTCAAGGTCAACCATTGTGTCGTCATCATCGCAGGCGGACTGGAAGATCTTGCTGAGAGTGCTCCAATCCTGGAGGAGTCGAGGGGGGCTTGATGATCCACCCAACGCCAAGAGGCCATAGGCACAAGAGAACTTCTGGCAGGGCTCACAGATTCCGCAATTGCGATGTTTTTCTGCGAGGAATGTTCCGAGATTCCTCTACAGGGTCTGAATTTGTCGAGCGGCACAGCATGGCATGTCTCAGCTTGCCTTGCCTTGTTAGGCGTGCCGTTGACTAATTTAAGTTGATAGAGATCACGGGGCTTGTAATGAGCGCCACACTCTTCAGAGTGACATTTTGTGTCTTGACGTGTTTTCGACCGTAACAATGGGAAGGATCTGATAGTGGCGGACGCACCATACACAGAAGCCCTGCAAATGAACTAAGAACTGTACTGAAACTTGACCTCTTTAGAAATATAAATATATATGTATATATATACACACACGCACATCAAGCACGGCATTTCCGACTACTCAGATCACTCGCAGGGCCATTCGCATGGTTTGAAGACACTTGCAAGCCAAAATAAGGAAGAAAGTCAAACCGCCGTAAAGTTGTGTTGAGAAAACAGGCACAACTTCACCGCGAGATTTCCTGTGGACAGGAGACCCTGACCAAGGCGTTTCCATATACGAGCTGCGCAAACTTTTGCATAAAAGCTCATGCTGTCACTAACAAACACGAGTGCCATCAAGAAGGCTTCCCATGAGCCAAATCAGGTTCAAAGGTGCAGGCATAGAATCAAATATTTTAGTTAGAAGTATAATATTATCGCAGTGCTTTACACAGTACTGTGGTTGAGTCACGTGAAATATAATTCCAATAAGGGCCCGGGTTAATAGTTAGCACAGTTTCAGATTATTTTGTAGTGGAGGTCAGTTTACGCCACCCCATGGGCACGCAGAAAATGCAGAGCAATCGCCAGCTACGAAACGTAACTGGACCACCCAATGAAACGGCGGTCATTGTGTGGCTACGCGAACATGCATGTATACATGCCTACATGCATTACTTGAAAGAATGGTGGGCACCCGTTCCCCAAAGGGAACAACGAGGAAAAAGAATGCCACAAAAGTGCCTACGCACATTCATGTGTACACACGTATACACACACATGAATGTGCAGTGTCGAGAATAGATTAGTCCCTACTTCTTTTCTGTGAGGATCCCTTCTTCTTCCGCTGACAAAGCCAACGTCGGTCGGTGGATCAGTGGTTTAGGGTTTAGGTTGTCCGAAACAAGAAGGGATCTTCCCTGGGAAGACAAAGGACTAATTTCATGCCGGAACACATTAGTCTCTCTATCTTTCCCGTGTGGATCCCTTCTTCTTCCGCTGACAAGGCCAACGCCGGCCATTGGGTCAGTGGTTTTAGGGTTTAG